GAAGCAGCAAGCTGTGCTTGTCCTGTCCCCGAATTCCAGCTTTCATACAGCCATTTCTCACAAAGACATGCTCATTCCAATACAATACTCTACACTCACCTTAAAAACACATATCTGAGGTATCTAACTTGCACAGGTTGGCAGAAAGAGGAAAACAACATCACTTTTTACTCTGCTGCTGCTTTTTTCAAATGACCAGGATTTGACGAGGACTGGTGTCATTCTAGCACCAACAGTGTGAAGGGGGGTGGTGGGGCTGCGTAGTAAATCAAGATGGCTGACACACGAGACCTCTGACACACTGGCTCCTGTGTGCGCCTAGATGGCGGCTCATATCCTACTCTCACAATCCATTTAATCACAAAAACAGCACATGTTCACATCCCAGCTCGTTGTGCTTAGTGGGTCATGAATTGACTGGTGCAGCAAAGATTCTCATGCAAACTACTCCCTTTTAGGTGCCGTTGGGATAACAAGCTCCAGACCTGCCGCGACCATGCAGTCAACAGGGCGACATGGGGCTTCTGCTTGAATTACAATGGCCACCTGAGCACCGATCAACTTAAAACCTGCCAAGCTTAATCTCGCCCAGATGTGCTTCAGAACTGCACCTCAAAAGTTGCAGTGATACTTTGTGTCCTCATAGTAGGTCTTCACCTACTTAGGAAAATGAGCTCCATAACTATCTGCTCTGTTATCTCCTCTTCAAAAATGTGTTAAGCAAATGAACTCTGAACTTGGCAGGTATCTCTCTCTTGACAACAGAATTATAATACAACAAAACAGAGCTCCTATAGAACACATGCTAGCTGCCTGACTTCAATGTCCACCCCACACTGCAGCAGCACTTCTTCTGCTGATGACGGGACATCGCCTGCTCAGGCCGACACGATTCTTCAGGAACCAGATAGCCAACAAACTGCAAACCTGGTATGTATCATACTTGTTTCCCATTAGTTATCTGGAAAACCCGGATTGGATTAACAGATGATTTAACAACTGATTATTTTTGTTGTACCTGCCCGGTTCGGAATCGCCAATCGTGCATCGCAGCCTGCAACCCCTACGACGCACACGGGGAAATGAATGGAGAAGGGGGCAGACATCTCTGACCCAGCCACCTTGAAGACAGCCATCTGTTAAAGTGGCGCAGGAAACACAGGTCCTTCCTGCAGGTGCTGTGGTGACGACTGGGGAGGCACATGGCTGCAAGCACCCCGGAGGCCACAGGGGGCGCTGTGACGTGGAGCATGGAGGCAGCCCTGGCTGACATGCACTGCACATCCGCTCTGGAGGCCAAGGCTGGTGCTGTGCTTTAACTGTGTTGTTTGAGCAATGTCCTGGTGGCCCCGGTGTTTACAGTACATACATGCACAGTCTAAACATGCGAATGTCTCAGTGTGAGCCATGACCGTGTACATACCTCTTTGCCCGAGAGATAATAGGCTGACAGCAGTCCACCAACAAACCGGATGTTCACTTCGAAGACGGAGACTTCAGCATTCTGAGGGAGACACAAAGACAAAAACACAAAGTGGATTTATTGTGTGCTTACAGGAAAGTCCTCCAGAGAGCAAGTCAACTGCAGGAACCATACAACGAAGCACCTGAAATGTGAAAAAGTACTTTACACTGTTGATGTTTAGGTTCAGTTTTGAATATATAAACATCTGTAAGGACAGAAAAGGTAGCTATATTAACTAAAAGTAATAATATACTTAGAAATTAGCTTCATTTAAAAAACTGTTGGTTATGTAAAATTATTTTCCAGCAATGACGCATATTTTTACCAGTATTAAAGGACATTTCCAGTCAAGGAAATTCCCGGAAACTACCAACATTTCGATCAGAAACCTGCCGTGGAATGGTAGAGCTATATGTCATGGTTTCCTTTATCCGCCAATGAAGAAATTCACAAGACTCCCAAGACTAGGGTTTTGTCCAAGCAGATTCTGAATACATTACAAAATGACTAAATGAAAATGTTCCCCTACCACAAGACGAGCACAGTAAATCATCTTATACATATGGAATTTGTTTAAAATTTCATTTGAATAAAATTTGCTTAAACACTAAACTCTTTTTTTTAAGAGTACAATAAAGGAGCACTGACAATTTAATTTTCTTTGTGTACTGAAGAAAACCATCACAGTTTAATTTTTTAAACGTACCAGTTTCTCTCATTCTTCACAACTTTGCCAAACAACCTGAGCATAAAGCAGATAAAAAAGGCCACTTTAAACGATAGGGTCTTCTATAACTAATTATACCCTCAAAGAAGCAGCAAAAGCCACAAATTAATGTACTCTTTTATACAAATAAACAAATGTTTATATGTAAATTTGCATCTCTACATTTATTATACTGTAAAAACAGGTAGTAATATGTGAATAAGATACATAACAGTTTGTATTTCTTTTTACTTGGTAAGCAAACACTTATACCCAGCGAGCTAGAAATAAACCTGCATTGAAACCAATTTAATCCTGGGAACCCATCAGTCATTTTTATTTATTCTTATGATTTTACGGTAATTGTTGCCTCTGCAGTTGATTTTAATGTTCACAATACACCAAAACAAAAGGAGTAAAATTTATAGCAACCAAATGTACGAAGAAATTTAGAAACGCAAAATGTACAAGAAACTGATGTCACAGCGAACATTATCTGGGAACCAGTTTCGGACAGGGTAGTTCGAAAGTAGCAAGCGGTCACGTGGTGCATCTAAGCCTAAGTCCCGCACAGGTCATCAGCTCCCCTGTGCAGAGCTCCTGCCCGATCAGCACTCTCAGACTGATGACATGTTTCCCCGGCTTATCCCACCGGGGTTAAGGTGTAGCAGCTGGGCAGTACACACTGATCCATGACAGAAGCAGAGTGTCTGGAGGGGCCAAACTGCGTGGGGACACACACTGTCATTTTGAAAAATTAAGGGATTATGGTAGAGGCTGTTATTACAGCAACAAAAGAGCACACATCTTAAAATACTCCAAGCAAAAGTCTTGTGCAATGAGATGTTAAAACAACAAGCTGCATGAAAACCACCATTAATGGTGACCCACAGCACTCAGCAGCAGTCATGAAAATGGGTGGCCCCCCTGGAGAGTTTTATCTCACCTGTGCACCCTTGCTGTACCACTGGCAAATGAAACAGAACTTGAAAGAGTCAGAATGTACCACACTTAACCAGTATTTAGGAGTCTGAAGATCATCTTCCTAAGGTGTCAGTAAACACATCATTGAAAACGCTGCCTTTTGCAACACAGCTCCGTCACTGATTTTCAGTGGGATTCTATCCTGCGTCCATCAAACTACACATTACAACCAGGCCGTTACTGGTAGAAAACCAGAAAAAGGAACTGTGGTGTGCAAGGGGAGTGGGCGAGGCTAGGTTACTCTGAGCAGCGGTGTTGTAGTATAGCAAAATATTTCATAATATGCGTCTTGACAGCTTCATCTTTCTTCTTATAATCAAGATCTGCAGGATTTCAAAAAATCCCTTGACTAGAAATAATTTCTGTGATGAACACCTTGCACAAGCTTTGGTTCGAATGCTGTTCCTTTCCTCTTATTCTACTATCCCTGAGAGATAATCTCTTCTTCAGAAGCAGAACGTTACTGTTACCCAGTTAAGTATGAGTTTACTCTGGCAGGAGGAGACACACTGGGGAGCAGGGTTTGCTTTAACAGGTTCTGCAAAAAAGTAGGGGCACATAAACAGAACAGCCCAGCTCAGCACTGAGCTCGAGCTGACTTCTTCAAGCCCTCTCTATCACGAAACAGGCAGCTAGGCTGCTTACCGGCTTCAGCTCTCTCCGATGAAGTCTGGTTTGCACACAGTGGATCTGCCCTCTATCTGACAAAATCAGACCAATACAGCTGGAAGCCTATGATCGCTGGTTTTTAAATAATAATAATGTTAACAACAATAATAATAATGACAATTTTACACAGCAACTTTAAATATAATTTATCAAAGTGCTTGACAGTAAGAAAAAAAGTAGCAAGGAGAAGAGTTAACGAGTTTAAAAATAAAAAACAAAGGTTTAGAATACAGAAGAAGACACGAGAGGCAGGACCAAAATGGATTAGGTAAGGGAGGTTTCGAATCTGGATTTGAAAGTGGTCAGGCATGCTGACTCTCGGATATCCTCAGGGATATAATGGAGAATAGACAGTAGATAGGGTGTAGAACACAGTAGGAAACACAGGACCAGCTAAATAAAAGCCCTTCTAAAAAAGGTAGTGTTGAGTTCAGATTCGAATACACTCAGGTAAGGTGACATTCTGATATCCTTGGGGAGAGATTTCCCAAGCTCTGGGGAGCAGCAGGAGAATCACTGTCACCTCCTGTATGCAGGCCGGCTTGGAGACTAGAATCAGACAGACACAGATTGCGAGGAGGGGGGGAGGACAATAGTCAAGCAGGGAGCTGTGGCAGCATGTGCAGGCTGCAAAGGAGCAAGTAAAGGTTTATTCCTGCTGACAAGAGAAGAGACAACGTTTTGGCTGTGGAGCCTTCTTCAGGTGCAGATAGCAATCATACAGGTACTGAAGTGCAAAACCTTACAGGTCAGCAGGAGGATTTTGAAGAAACACCAAACCAGTGAAAAATTGTCTGCTGACCAAATGTCTGTCCTTATTCCTTCCTTATTCATGTGGATGTAGTTCAGACAAGTGCCTCCATTTTCTCTGAACCTACTGCCCTCTTATAGGGATAAGTTCACTTATTTAACACTTGTTAAACATTCTACGTGTCATTCTGAATGACACTTAACACGGCAGCACCAATGACTGACAGAGCTGAAAGATTCACACACAAACATACAGTCTTGTCAGGGAATCATATATAGACATGGATATTATTGAATAACAAATACTGCAAGTCTTTTACAATTTAAATTAAAGGGCATTTTGTTTACTTGGGTGACCACGTGACAACTTGTCAACAAAAACAATTACTTTTGTGACTGAGTGACAATCTAGACATAGTTCTATAATACAGACATATAATATAGCTCAGCAATCTGCCAACTAGTGGATCTCAATTAGCTGTTTTCAATGTGGAAGCTGATCTTGATTTAGTTTGCTTCATTTCAGTTCTCAGTTCGGGGGGGGGCTAAATTTTCTGAGAATGTAAAAAATTTTTTTTCCTGTCTTCAATGTCTTGGTATAAAGTTTCTCTGCCTTTTTTCAACACATGAAACAGATCCCTCTAATGCTAAAGCGTCACTGGGACATTACTGGAAATAATTTCTTTGCATTGAAGTGCTTTTTTGAAAAGGAAGAGATTGCTTCCCACACATTACAGCAAGGCCCCGTGTTGCAAAACCTCCCATATCAAATTATCTGTGCTCAGAATGAAGACGAGATGAAAACATGAAGTGTTAGTTTTCAACAGAGCTTATTCCCACAGGCTCTGCAAACTGAGAGATCGTCCCCATGCTGATCTGTGCATAAATTGGAACACAATGAGTACCTCATCAACAGTATTTACGCTTTTGAATCAAACACTCTGTAGGCCTAATGTTAATAGACCATTGAGTAATACTGTAGCAAACAATTAGCTAATTGAGATATATATATATAGGATAAGAATCCTTGAGAAGACTCAAATAATTTAGCACAGTATCGTATCAGTGTTCATGCAACATTTACAAAACGAATTACACTACAATATAATACAGTGGTCATTTACACACCTCACAAGGACATTGATGCGCTGTACATTTTTATAGTGACTTCTGACC